AAAAACATCCAGAAAAACGAGGCGAAGCGGCAACAAATGTGGAAGTTGAGTTTTTACCCACTCTAAACTTTTTGTTCGAGGAGCGGCCTAGGAAGGCAACAGTCGAAGAGGCCGAATCGCAATTCACAGAGGAAGTGCAACATGCTGCCAGCAGCGCTGATGGAGAGGCCAACTACGCATATGACTTTGATAACGATAACGACTCCACGCACACGTACATAATCTCTAGGAGCAGCTTGACGGCGGCCACAAGCAGGTCCAGCAGCACTCAGTACGCTGTCACATCAACAGACACAGAGGAACTATTAAGGCGGCAAAACAACCTCAGTCTCACGGAGGAGGACCAGACCGTGTCCTCGTTTAGTATCGAGCCGCCCACCAGTTCCATGACAATTGAGATGGCCGAGCAACATACGACGGCAACGACAGCCACAGCCACAGCAACAAGCTGTGCAGAGATGGCAGGAGCTACCACCACAACAACGATGACCACGACAAGCAGCAGCATTGAGGAGGACATCGAAGAGGCCATCGAGATCAGTGAAGTGGAGGAGCAGCTCAGCTCCCACGTCGAGTCTCTGTCAGGCCCGGCTGCATACCGCAGACCAAAGGAGCAACCGGGTGCCAAAAGTTTGAGTAGCAGCAATGATGACGAGGAGGAAGGGGATGCGGGTGCGAATGCGGAACAGTTTCGCATAGATGATTCCCAGCTCTCGGGTGGAAAGTTGGCTCAGCACTTCCTTACGCTGAACGATGAGAGCGAAGCCGACAATGTACGTCACGATGGTTCAAAAGTTGAAGTTAGTCTTTGCTCCTCAAATTATGATGATTTGGACATAAGTCTGCCGCTGGGGCAGTCGAATCTAATGCACTCCCGCCACGAAGACGAAGATGAAGATGAACCAGATATCGTGGATCAGAGCCTGAGCAACCAAAGCACCACAGATGATGTCTCAGAGCTTGCTGAGGAGCCGGTTCAGTCTAGAGGCGAGCAGAGAAGCGAGGCCATTATGAGTGCAAGTGATGCACCGGAAACGCAGGTGGATGAGGAGCCTCAGCTAACCGAGGAGAAGGATCATTCAATGGAGGAGATCGTGGCCAGCAACGAGTCCATCGAGGTGACCTACGAAGCCGACGAGACTGCCAACACATCGCACAAAGTGGATCAGATAACGGATTTAGATGAAGAGCAAGGGCAGGAGGCCTCCCAGACGCAGGATGAGACGGTACAGAATGCGGTCACACCCACAGCCAAAGTGGAAACGCTCATGCTGCCAATGCTAAAGGAGCCTGTAGTTATGGAGAACAAAGATGCCAAAGCTTTGGCCCCACTGTTCCTTCAACCAGAGCCACTCAAGTTGACCATGCTGGAAGTGGACTGCGATGATGGGGAGGACGATGATGAGGAAAGTTCCCTGCAGCTGATGAAACTGCGCTTGATGGCCATGAATCAGCAGATCCTCAACGACAATGGAGTCAAACTGTCACCCACAGAAGCGGACGGAGAAATGAATAGCAGCTCTAGCAGCAATGCGGAGGTCAAGCAAATGGAGCGATTGCCCCTGTCAGAGTTCAGCAAAGATGTGCTTGAGGACATAACCGAGGAGAGCGAGCGCCTGCTCTCCCTCAGCACCACTATCGAGGAGGAGCGAGAGCAGGAGCAAGAGCATGTCCCACCATCCCTATCCCCCGATGAATCCAAAAGACTGCTTCAGCAGGCGGCCAAAAGAGCAGAAGGCAGTCATTCCAGTTTGGCGAGCTTGAACATGCTGAAGCAGTTGGAGGCTAATGTGCAGGAGTTGCACAGCCAGCTCGAGATGAAGGACAACTGCCTGGCCTCCCTAAATTTGCAGATGGAGGCGGTTCGCCGCGAAAGCTGTGCCGGCCCAGCCTCTGCTCGAGATTCCAGCTCCATGATGACCAATTCCACGGAGTACCGAACACTGCAGGAAGAGTTCGGGGGCCCGGTAAGCGATCCTTTTAAACTAATAGACCTGTTCTCATATTAAGTTCTCCCACAATTTCCACAGACGCTGGACATGTATCTGGAGGTGTCTCGCAGAGATGAGATGATTGCCAAGCTGACCGAATCACTGCAGCACTCGATGAACGTTCGCGGAGAGCTTCAGGCAGACGCAGAGCGCCTGGGAGGCGAGGTGCAGAATCTGCGCAGGCAGCTTCACGAGGCCATTGATGCAGTCAAGCGATCGAGTGCCGTGTGGCCAGATCAGGAATGCAATCCCGGCCAGCGCATTTCGGAAATATCCATGGATCTGATGAGCGAGAGCGACGACGACCTGGATCGAAACTTTCTTACCGACAACGAGGAGCGAGGATCGCGCAGTTCCAAGGAGCGACAGGTGCCCCTTCATTCCCTCGACGACCTTGGCCTCCAACCCCTTCAACCTGAGTGGACTCCGGCGTTCACTAAGCAGATAGAACAATTCCAAACCTACCTTCTGCCGCACGAACAGCGGCTCTTCCTAATGGTCCAGCGCAAGTTCGACGACTACCTCGGCCAGCAGTTGAGCATTATCCGCGAGCAGTGTGCGCAAGAGTTGAAGATTGCCCGCGATCAGTGGGAGAGCGAAAAGCAGAGCAATCAGCAGTCCCAGCAGGCTACACACGCAAGGGAGGTGGAGGAGCTACGCAAGTATTTTGAACACAAGTGTGCCGACCTCGAGAAACAGTTCTCCGACGATGTCTTCTCACACAAATCCCAACACCTGGCTGGCGACAGCTCTTCGGAGTGCTCCGAGGTGGATCAACTGCCAGAGGAGGCCGTGACCGTGGCTGCCTCCTCCGCCAAGGAGACGTCGCCGCGCAAGCGAAAACGGGCCGAACTCTTGCTGAGTCCCAGTCACAGGCAAATGACTCCCTGCGGATTAGATTCCCTGGGGGAGTGCAGGAGTTCAGGGCGGAATGACAAGGAAGTAAGTGGATTCAATGCGGGTTTTAGATACATATTAATTGATATGGATCTGGAGGCTAGACCTATTCCTTTAGTATTTCCCAGCAGTGACTGTCTCTCCTCTCAGTTGAGTTTCGCAAATTACGTATTTTGTTTATTGACACCAGACACGATCACATTTAATATTTTGTATTTAATTCAATCGATCCTGTAATGGTATATCCATGAATCCAACTGAATCTAAATGGATTATAATTATAGAAGTACATTCGAATAAGGTTTATCTGTACTAGCATCGTCAAGAGATTTACCCATTTCCCCATTTCAGGACATATCCGAGCTAAAGATATTCTACCAGACGCACATGCAGGATATAAAACGCGCCCACGAGCTGACGGTGCGCAAGCTGAGCGATCGCATTAAGTTTTACGAGCGCAGCCAAGGAGACGACGACTATAAGGTAACGATCCATTTGTACGCTGACTGAGACTTACTCGAAAAGTATACGCACTTAGCCTGGCTTTGCTAACTTGCTAACGCATGCATATTCCTGTTCTCTCTGTCATTTATAATCCAATATAATAAACCACTAAACCACACCAATTGTAACTACCTGCATCCACGCCTTACCTTGGAAACAACAACTAACCTGCCGACGTATAGCCTGCTGTCGAATCTCCGCCACGTACCTGTCCAGGTGCGGGAGCGGCAGAGGTGGAGGGTTCAAAGTCAGCAGCACCCAACATCTCGCTCATCATCATTGACGAGGATGAGCTGAATTTCAACAACGAGTCTCAGGTTGTTCAGCGCATTATCGAGGAGTACGAAAGGCGATTGCAGGAGCAATTGGCGTTAGCCCGCCAGGATATTGCCAACGAACTGGAGCGGCAAATACAGGTGAGTGCTTGGCATGGCACGGCATGGCATGTCTTGCATTCCCCGACACTTCCCTGACTGCTCAGTGAGTGTGATTCACATCTCACTTTCCGTCTGCAAAATGTACCGCTTTATTTTTAACAAATCGCGCGCGATCGTCAAAGAAAAACGTGCGAAATCTTGTCAAGCAGCCAAAACAAGAACTAAAGCAAAATCGAGTGGAAACGCTTTTTCCGTAGCGGAGCATGAAAATCATGCTGCGACGAATGGTTGCCAAAAGAACTTTGGATTTGTGCCTGTGGCATAACTTTGCATCATTGTAGCATTAATTCAGCCTGCGATTTCATACCCTCTATTTTAAGGCCCAGTCAAAAGTCAGTAGTCAGTCAATGATCCCAACGGGAACGTTGACTTGAGCGGCTATCCTTCCAGCAGATCCATAGCATCACTCTTCACATAGTCATCATTCTTTGACAATTGTTTGAACCAACACAAAAACATAAGCTGTATGTATGTAGTTAAAGAAGATCGGAGAACACATTTCACATTTCTTTAATCAGTGCTGGAAACGGAGCTAATATCGTCCCAGCCGGAAGTGTTTAAAATTCTAGCTTCCTTTGGCATTAAACAGTTCTTGGATACGCAATATAAAAGAGAGAGGAGAAAGGAAAAAGGGGTGCAAAACACACAACACCAAACATACATAATAGTGCATGCTGTTGTTATTTTGGATGCTTGGACCCCGTTTAAAATTAACGCTCATAAATTTAAATATACTTCAACACACTCACACACACCATTGGGAGAACGATCGGAGAACCAATTTCTCTCTCTCTCTCTCGACCTTCTCTCTTTCTTGTTATAAATGGGTGGTCTGCTTGGGTGCCCGCTCATTTTATTTTGTTACTTCAACGCGTGCGTGCGCGTCTGTCATTGTCGGTGCTTTATTCATTGGAATTTTCGTACATACATATATATACATTCATATGTACATATAGTGAAATACTTTGCGACTTTCCCGGCGTAAATGAAAGCGATCTTCAAGTGGTATTACGGAAAAAAATTAATCAAATCTTCTAACATTTTAATACTCTGATTAAGTTATTCTTTGGCAATTGATGTTCGAGTGCTTCAATCCAAATACTAACGTGGTTTCGGCGATAGCAGAACATTAAAGCATACATACTCGTGCATAAAAGTAAGAGAGGTAAAGATACGATGTGAGGAAAGTCAATGGGCAAACCACTTGAGATTCCCCGGCCTAAACAAAACATTTCTCAAATTCATAAAAATTTAAATCCTGTGTTAACAAAAACAGCTAGACTGCACGTTGTCAAAAAACATTTACATCTGTGTGTATATACTCATATGTATCTTCTTCAAAAGAGAAGAGAAGTCGTTGCCCTTATGACAAAAAAAGAAACCAAGAAGAACTGGTCACATATTCAGCTACAATCGCTTTCCTGCCTGGGAGTTTATTTTTGTTTAAGGCTCAAACTTAATTTCCTCCGAAATCTTTGTTATTTATACATATTTATCAAAAAATGCACAAGTACCGTTCCATAGCGGATATCGATTTTCATATCAGTGGAGAGTGTGCTAAGTGAGTTTTAATTGAATAAGTCAAGGAGCCAGGACCGCCTCTTCGATTAAGCAATTAGCAAAATCAATTAAAACGCGCTTATATAAGGGGTTGTATCGGCATTCAATGAATCAATCAAAGCTAAAACTTGCCCATGGATATCGACCGAATTCGTCCAGTGCGGTTCCTACTCCGCTTACTCGGCTGGTTTCGGCTCTGGCCCACATCTGGGGGACCGAGGCCGCAGCGTGGCTGGACCAACTGGCAGGGTTATCTTCTACATTCCGGTTTAACCTTACTCTTCACTGTACTGTTGTGGGCGGAGGCTATCCTTAGTACTGATATGGAGCACACGGTGGATGTTCTGCTAATCTCTCTCACCATGACGGCTCTAGCCCTAAAGGTGCTTAATAACTGGAGCTATGCTCACATGGCGCAGCGCATCCTAACCGAGTGGAGCAGTGTGGACCGCTTTCGGCTGAAGACGCTTCAAGAAGTGGACATGTGGCGCAACGAACACCAGCGCTTCGACCGCGTTGTCTGCGTCTATATAATGTGTAGTGTGGGTGTCATCCCCGTGATCGTGATACCATGTCTGTTCAATATACCCAACAGGCTGCCATTCTGGATGTGGACCCCCTTCGATTGGCAGCAGTCCGTGTCCTTCTGGTTTGCCTTTATATATCAGGCGGTGGTGATCCCCTTTATATGCCTGTGTAACGTATCCATGGATCTCGTCAACTGGTACCTAATGCTGCATCTGTCTCTCTGTCTACGCATGCTAGGTCAGCGCCTGGCTGCACTGAATAACAGTGGTATCCAGCAGGGCGAGGATCAGCTCTGCACTGACTTATTGGATCTGGTGGCCCTCCACCAACGACTCAAACAGCAGGCGCTCGACATTGAGAAATTCATTTCGATGAGCACGCTGTTTCAGATATTAGTCAGCTCCCTGATCATCTGCTGCACCATCTACAGCATACAGATGGTGAGCCAACCCGAGTGTGAATGGGAGTATCTGATCCTCCTTCCGTGCCACTCACCTTTCAGACTCCCGTCATGCAGGATCTGGGAAAGTTTGCAGCCATGATTCAATATTTGCTCTCGATGGTCATGCAAATCCTACTGCCCAGCATCTATAGCAACGAGGTCACCAACTCTGCCGCTAAGTTGACTGATGCCCTCTACAGTTCCGCCTGGCCAGACCTTTCGCCTCGTCTGCGTCGCCTCATCCTGATGTTAACAATCTATCTGAATCGGCCCATGTACCTGCGGGCCGGCGGCTTTTTTAATGTGGGGCTGCCGATGTTCACTAAGGTACTCTTAAAGGAGTGGTTAGGGCCCATGGACACTTGAACAGCTTTGGTTTGTGTAATACTTTTGATTTCCATTGCAGGTCATTAATCAGGCCTATAGTCTGCTGGCCTTGCTACTCAATATGAACAATTAGTGGAGGGGTTAGTTCTCACCTACCCCTGAAAAAACCATTTTTGTTTTGAATTAGCGAAGAGACTTCTCCGCTCGTTTGCAGATTTTTTTTCGTCAATTCTTGTTGTGCGAAAATCTAAAAATACATATTATAGTATTGCACCCAACCCATACACTATTCTACATACATATATGCGTACATATATGTATGTACGTACACGAGCACGTGCAAGTGACGAAAATAAAGAGAAAATTGTGTTTCCCAGTGCAGAAAACATGTGTAGGGTAGCTGGAACACACTCCTTTTGGGGGGAATTTTAGAGAAACAAGGAGGCAGTGCGTTTCAGATTTGTATCCCAAACAATATTGATCTCAAGGTGCAGGATAACTATTTACTTGTTTTGAGCGTTTGGGGTCTTAAAATGGGAACGTGGTGGGAACGTGTGGAACGTGCTGTAGTCCAAACCGACGTAAATATTGGAAAACATTGAAACAAAGAAAACTCGTTATCAGCTGGGGTTGCGACCCTCGGAGAGAGAGAGAGAGATGAAGAGAAAGAGAGATTTTATTCGATCGCTTTTAAATCGTTATCTCTGAGACCTATTGAATTGTGTTCAATGCGGTTTTTAATGGCTGATTTATAGGATTGATTCAAAGGGGCATAGAGGCAGTAGCAGCAACACAAATAATCCATACACTCCAGTCATCCGCTTCTCGGAATGGCGGATGCGTAGGTTTTTATTAAGATTTATCTATATGTCTGTTGGTCTAACTCCACCCTCAATCGACACTCTCTGAAGTGTCGGTGTCCAAAATGGAAATGAAATGTAAATAAAGTGTAAATATTTTGGATGAGAGCCATAAATATGTATGCCTTGGTGAAAGGCAGAAAAGTTTACTTGAAAGCTACCCTATTCTTTTCTCTGTTCCATGTGAAAACGTCTGTTCCATGTGCAACCGACTGTTCCATGTGCAACCTTTCGCGATATGCAACAGACCTTACACAGACTTACATTTTATCAATTCCGTATACAAATTGATCTTACAGAAGCTGCTATCTGAGAACGCTGTGGATGATCAGCATTGGCCCAAGGAGCTGATCTTGCTGCGTGAGAAATTTACGGCCAAAAGTCAACTGGAGATCACTCAGCTGAATATCAAACATGCCGATGAGGTAAGTCTAGAATGCGGCGGGCAGTGCCTTTCTCTTATGAGAATGCCGTACTACTTTATTTCCTATTGGGGATTCCCTGCAGATGTCGCGCCTGAAACTGGAGTACGAGAAACAGCTGAATCGCAAGAACAAACGCCACTTGACCTTCGACTCGAGCCGTGACCTAGAGCAGGTTATCAACGAGCGCGATGGACTTCGGGAGTTGTCGAAGAGCTTCCGCAGCGTGCTCAGCCGGCTGGCCAAGTGCGTAGCCAACTGTGAGGAGGATCTAAATGCCACGCTGTCTGAGGAAGTGCAACGTCTGCTGCTCCACAGTCACAATCACAGTCAAAGTCGCAGTCAGGAAGTCGGCGAAGAGTTTGAGCAGACGCTGAGCAGCTCCCTGAACAATACGCGGCCACTGCGTCTGGTGCCGGATGTACATAGTCTGCTAGAGTTGGTGGAGGATCCCAGTCTGGTGCAGTTCATTAATAGCAAGAGCAACGAAGACAATATGGAGGACTTCGACCTGACCGACTGTCTGGAGCGCCTGAAATCAGAGGCCACCTATTTGCTGCAACTCTCGGAGGACCTGCACAAGCAACGGGAGCATGATTCCAACGATTCCCTGGGAGAGCCGGAGAAGCAGGAGCATGAACTGTGCTGCGAGGCGGAGGATGGCCTCAAGACAACGGCTGATGTGCAGCAGCAATTGCTCTCCAAGTTCGTGCGCACCAACTCCCTCAACGACCAGCAGCTGGGTGTGGCCAATCGGCGAAAGAACAGCAGCTCGGAGGGGGAAAAAACGCACACCTCCCTGCCGCACGATCTGCAGCAGCACGCGGGCAACTCCTCCGAGCTCTCCTTCCAACTTGTGGAGCTGAAGAACCGCTTGATCAAGTCGGAAACTGATCGACAGAAACTGCAGCAGCAGTTGAGCAACACTATCGATCGCAATGCAGAGCTGGGACATGAGCTGCAGGCCCTGCGCGATCAACTTTCGCAGTTGAACTCGCTGAACCACACGGATTACAATGAGGGCTACGGCTTGGGGCGGATGAAAAGCCTCCACGAGCAGGGCCTAGACCAGTCGTCGGCCAGCTTTACTGCATTGCAGGACCGGGCCCGTCATCTGCTCTCCTCGTCGCCCGGCAGCCAACAGGATCAGCTGGAGCAGACTCGTGACTCGGGGAATGCCACCGTCATGCTGCTGCAGCTGATCGAGGACTTTTGCCGCGAGGGCGACAAGGTGGTGGAGTGCAGCAAGAAGGACCGAGAAGATCTCCAGTCACAGGTTAGTCTTCGGGTCAGAATCTACGGATTGATCTCGTTTTCCTTTACATACATATATCTCGTTTTTGTGAGAGCTAAACGCATGAAAAGTACACTTGAAGAAGTAGATTAGTTTGTAAGCCAGGTTATTACCCAATCAGAGCCCTTGTTACAACCCCTCCACTGACACACAAACAGATCGATACCGCTGACAAGCAGCTCAAGGATACGCGCCGATTCCTGGAGGATCAGGCCGCTGAGCGCGAGCAGGAACGCGACGACTTCCAGCGTGAAATCGAGCTACTGAAGTCGCAATTGCGCGATAAGGAGAAGGAATGTTGCTCCTATGCCAATGCCTCCGAGGAGGTGAGTCCTGTCCACTATCTACTATCGCTAAGATCTCAATTGGTTGATTTTGGGCTCCGTTTTAGTTTACGTTTAATATGCCTCTGGCTTTCCCTATCTGATTGTATTATATTTTTCATGTATTCCTTCTTTTTTGGATTTTTGATTAGTTTTAAGTTCTAATGTTTTGTAGACATTTGCCAAGTTCTAATAGTATGCCTTCCTCAAGAAGAATTGTGTTAACTGAATCAATTGCGCAAAGCAACACTAACAATAAGCACATTAGCTAAACTAATCAAAGCATTTGTTAAAAACATTTCATGGGATATTGAACGGAATATGTAGGTTTTCACAACTCCTTTGTGAGTGCCTCTGTGGGCATTGTAACTAAATCAAGGGCACCATCAAAGGTACATATACAAAAGAGATTTTCGTAAGCTTGTGCCGACATATTTATAGACTCCCAGAGGTAAATATATACATATGTATACATATGTATGTGTATGCAAATGTACATATACACATTAAAATGTGCGCGAGTCGGGTCCATTCACTAACATTTTTCTCGTAGGAAATTGAACTCATTTTCATTTCCATGTGGGATTAAATTGTGTGGATAAATTGGAATTGTAGATTGAAGTTGTATGAAAGTTTATTTGAAACTTCGATTGCTTCTTAGAATTGTTTTTTAATATTTCGGTGTGGTTCTCTATCCACTTCTCTTTTCGCATACTAGATGTATATAGATCGAGCAATTGCCTATTTAAACTAATTATGCACCCTCTCCCCACTACCACACTGCGCACCCGCATTTAATAGTTGAAGTTCAGAAAGAAAAAGCATGTAAGTTGTCACTGAAATGGGAACGCACCCGGACACTGCTCCTCATCAAACTTTACCAAAATTTCACCATACCACTATACCACACCACGCGAAAGTAAGAGTAATTTTTATGAATGTGCTATAACTCTGGGGTTTCTATCCTATACACCCTCTACACAGTACGCCCAATTGGAGGCCCAACTGCGTGCGGCAAACCTACAGCTGAGCCAGTCGAACGACAAGAAAGATAGGTTCGAGGTTGAGCTGAAGGCATCCATTGATAAAATTTTTGTGCTGCGCGAGATCATCTCGGAGCTGGAGACCCAAGTGCAGACCAAGTCACTGAACGAGCACGTGCTGGACGAGAAGACTAAACAGCTGGAGGACTATGTCAGCCTCCAGATGAGCGCCAACGATGCCTTGCAGCAGGAGGTCCACCGCCTCCAGAAGGACATCGGCGAGGGCTATCAGTCTCGGATTCGCCTGCTGGAGGAGAAGCTGCAGCAGGGCAGGCCATCTGCAGAACAGAGCCTTGTCCTCGTTCAAGTGGCTGAGAAGCTGCGGGACATTGAAACCACGCTGGAGCAGAAGACAAAGGTCCTGGAATCGCTGCATAACTCCAATACCACTTCCAATTCGGCCAGCCTGAGTGTCACCGAAGATGTCTCCGTCCATGGTGGCAGGAGTAGGCCACACACCGCAGTGGGCTCGACCTCGCATTCCTCTCTGACCGTTGAGGGCGTGGAGCGAGTCACCCAAAAGCTGGATAGACACACGCGCGTTGAAGAGGCCGCCATTAAGCGGATCCGCGATCTGGAGATGCAACTGCAGCAGATGCGTTCCGGCTGTGTGGTAAGTAAACGTTCATCTTTATTCATCTGAAACTAGAAGCGTCTTTCCTTTGGAGTTCAAGGAATTGGTTGATTTAATAGAGCACCCTCGGGTCCTTTCTAAGCGGTTGTGAATACTTATGTATATTTTATTTCAAAATGCTCGTCTTACATTTTACGTTTCATATCGATAGCAAAAGTATCGATAGCATAGCCTCGCTAACATTTATCATTCGCTTCAAAGTGTTAACTTAACATTCTCTTTCTGTTAAACAGATCTGCTCAACTATTGAGCTCAACGGATCGTTCGTGTCTTTACAGCAGAATATTAGAATATTATCAGAATACAGAATATTTACAGCATATAAAGAAAGGGAAATTTAAATGAAAATGTGGGAAAAGTGCTTAGTTTAATAATTTAATCAAAGGAATCGTTTGCTGTGCTTGTTCCTGATATGTTTAACGGCCCGAAAACGCTTCCCATCTTTGGCCCGTTGCGAGTGAGTTTCTTTTAAGTTTGTGGACTTTAATATCTCAGAAGGTTCCTCGCACTGCCTGAGAGTCTATCCGCCCAGTGGCTCTGTGTGTGTGCGACAAGTGGCCCCGACAATTGATGGTTTTCAAGAATGTTTTAACATATGTACATAAATATGAATGTAAATATGTACATACATATATATGTATTTGTACATACACTCTCAAATTATTTATTTGATGTATTCTAGCATTGTTCATGGTTCATGGCGTGCTCTGCTG